CTTCTTAGACTTCAGGTCTCATCCACATGTGACCCTCCCAGAGAAGCTGTAACTAACTATCTGACCTGAAATAGCAGCTTCCCCTTCACATTATCTCCTTTTTAGCTCCTTTTATGATTTAGTGTCTATACTAGAGCTATTTCTTAGTATCTATCATGGGCTGTAATTATTCTTCTTATTCGTTTACTTATTCACTGACCGTCTCTTCCACTAAATATATAAATCCCATGACACAGGGACCATGTTAGTGCTGCTAATTGTTGAATCCTCAGCCTTTCTCAACCTGCTGGACATAATAATGATTCTCAAGAAATGTTGACCAATTGTATGAATAAATGACTAAATGGATAAGAAATGAATAAATGAAACAAATGAAGAAAACATTTTAGACTGGTATTCCACATCTCTCTACTTGTGCTTCCTTCAAAAGATGTTTACATTTTCTAATTCTACTCTATCCCAGGCATTTCATAATTAATCTTCATGATCAGCCAATGAGGCAAGCATCTTAACTCTACTTTTTTGATGAAGAAATGAAGGCTCACAGATGCAGTGCCTTGCCCAAGCTTATGTAACTAGCACAGCTAGAATTTAAATGTTGGTCTCGTTTAACAGCAACACTGAGGCCTTTTTACCACTCTGAATTTAAGATTTAATAAATGTTCTGTATAATTATGGAAGTACTGCTTTAGCAAGCAACTCGGTGAAGCAGTCAATTTAATTTACTCTTTGAAGAATTCAGGCTTAAATTTTGTCTTTTAAAATAGAGTTAGACCATGTTTCTTCCATACAGGTAGGCCATGAGGTTTCTATTTTCAAGCTGCTTTTTTAACCCTAGATGGTAGGAGATGCCCAAGGTCAGGGTGTGTACACTTGCCCTAAATTTCTAGAAACTGGACAAACATTCACTGGACAAAAATGCTTACTAGATGCAAGCTCAAGTTTATCCCTGCCATCTAGGAGCTCCTCAGCTACTAGGAGACAGATTATAAACAAATGAACCAAATACAGAGTCACCAAAGCTCCAACAGAGCTGCTCAGGGGGCTGTGCGAGCTGATCCTCTGCTGAGTGCTGACAGATTACCAGAGACTGGCCAGGTAATGAAGGGAAAGCATTTTGCAGGAAGAAGTGTGACAGCCTGACCTAAGGCAATTACGAAGGAGGCTTTGGCACACCAACCATAGTAATGAGAGACCCTGGCCACTGTCTCCTTCCAGAAGGATCCCAAAACTGGCTGCCACTACTGACAACTAACACGGGGTTAGCAGACAGAAGTGGGGGTGGCGCAGAGGCAGCACAGCACTGGGATTAGGAATGTGAATTTCTTCTCAGTGTTAAGCATTTAGTTTGGCCACTTACTTGTTTTATGACCTCAGGTGAGTTACTTAGCCTCTCTGTGCCTCAGTTTCCCCATCCCTAGAAGGGGATGATAGTGATAACACCTGCTCCTGGATTCTTTGGGAAGCTTGTATGAATTGATGCATGTAGAGCACAGGGCCTGACTCACGATAAGCTCTGGGTCCATGGTAGCTTTTGTTACCATTTTTTCAGAATGGTTCACCTTAAAGAGAATTCTTTTGATTTGGGAAAATGGCATGAAAGGAAGATTGTGCAAAATCTCTGCAACCCAACCGTCAATCCAAGCAACCTTCAAGGTGGGTGGAGCCACCAGCCCAGAAACTGTTAGAGCAGAAGCTCCATGCCCTTAACTCTGCTAGCAGAGCATGTCTCACATTCAAGAGCACCTACTATGTGCCAGAAACAGTGCTGAGCACTTCCTAAGTCTCATTTCATGACAACTCATGCCATCCCTGTGACTCGGGACCATCGTTATCCTCATTTGGTAGATGAGGAAACTGAGGCCCATTGGGGCCAGATGACTTACCCCAGGGCCTACTGCAGGCAAAAGGAGGACACTGGTTTGATCCATCACATCTGGAAACCCAGGGGCAGAGTGGGGTTTTGCAGGGTGAGCTTTGGCCAGCCCCAGGGTGACTGCCACTCCCACTTCTAGGCCTTGCAGGCTCCGGGCGGGGGCTCAGCAAAGTGAGGGGCTGCTCCCTGGGCTTCACGCTGGAAGGAGCCACGGCCGGTCACCTGCATATTCAGACCACCTGCTCTTCCTCACACCTCTCTAGGCATTTCTATATCTTTATCAGGTAAGACAGGGTTTGCACATGCACAGGATCAAATAAAGCCACAAATTCACCATGCCCTGCTGTCATTGCATCTCTTTTGCAGGTCAGTGGAATGGTGAGATGGATTCTGAGGAAGAGAAGCTGGGTAGCAGCAGATGTCATTCCTTGGGCCCCGCGAGTGAGGATGCTTTGCTATTTCTGTCAAACATTTAAGCAGATGTTGCTCCTTTTGAAGTGAGCAGTGTACTTTCAGGTAAGGATTTCAAAATTGAAGAGCTCTATCCCTCATTCAGTCATTACAAGCCAAATCAATGAATGGAACTGGACTCAGTGGGATCTATTTAGAATGCTGCTGGCCCTGCAAGTAGCCTAGGGATGAGTCCTCCCTCGGCCATACACTGAAAAGCAGCCTAGCAGCTCTTTTTAAGTGGAATCATCATGAGAAGCACAAGCAGAGCAAGGTAGCTTCTCAGAGGCATAGGGCCATCCTCATTTCTTAGGTCCCCAACTTCTGGGAGTGTCTGCCTTGCCCGTCCATGTATAATCATAATAACATAAATGTAGAGAGGGTGAGGGTAGAGGGCCAAATGCCATGATTGCTATGTGTACTTTCTCCTGTCATAAATCTGCAGATTTGAAACAAACACCAATAGCCCCAGCTCAAGGATTCTCAGGGCCAGATTCAGCAGCAAGATATTTTGGAATTGCTGATCTGAGACTTAGATATCAGTCTTTTCTTGGTCTCTAATTCCTTACCAACCCATTTATTGTGAATGCCACCTCTTTGCTTTCCACCCACATAGATCAGTGAAGAATTTCTCTTGTGTGGTGGCAGGTCCCACTAGCTGTTACTGGGAGAGAAACCCTTCCACTTTGCTAAGAAATTAATTCCCCTTGATGGTCACTTTCATTTCCAGTTGGATCCTTGCCTCTCCCCTCAGTATTCCTCTTTCTGAATTCTCTTTTCTCTGAACTCACCTATGCCACAGCTTTAACCATCAAGCTTGTGACGGAGGGATAAGGCTATTTTACGTGCCCAGCACAGTGCCTGGCACACAGTATGCTTCTTAGTAAATATTTACTACTAATGGCTCCCACATGTACTGAGCAGCAATACCACCTCTAGGAGTCCTTTCTTCATCACGTTCTCCTTGTTCTTTCCAGGTGATTAGACTCGTTAATTTCCACTAAGTCTCGGTTTCTTTATCTGTAAGTGAGGAATTTTCACCTTGCAGGATTATCTGAGGTACACATAAAATGGTATAATCAAAATGCTCAGCAGAGTCAGAGGAGACCAACAAAGCCTGGTGCTATTATCCACCTTGCTCTGGGCTCATTCGCCTTGCCTGGGACTCACACCCCACTACCCCCTCTACTGCCAGAAATCAGTTCTATCTTTCAAGCACTCCTTTAGGGGCTGCCCATTCTGGTGCTCTCTCTGGTTTTCCTCTCCTCTTTATTTTTGTGGACCTTAGAGTCAGATGCCCACAATTCAAGGCTTCTAACTCTTCTTCTTGGTTTCAAGCACAGTCATCTCTCTCCTCGCAAAGAAGGATAAAGTGATGTAAAGATAAGTCTGTATGATAAATAATTTCCCCCTATTCTCTTTACAATGCCTGGCTCTAGGCTGAGAATGTGTTCAAAACCAGCTTACCGTTTATAAAAGAGTTTCGATCTCAAGGAATTTTTTCTAGTTTATCACACAAGTAATAGTGTAACAAATCATATCTGGGGTCAAAAAATAAACAGAAGCCACTCTACATTCCACTCCTATTGCATGTTAACAGTAGGATTTTTTCCCCTTCCCGTTCATTTTATGTCCTTATGAGCCGACAATTTATACAAAGCTGTGATCACAGTGTAGATAGAATTTGGCATTCTGCTTTGTTCGCTCAATATGCTACCACGGGTATTTTTTTATTTTGTGACAGAGTCTTCATAATTATCTTTTTTTTTAGGGGCTGCATAATACTCAAGCGTGTGGGCGTAGTGTAATCTACTGAACCGTTTCCCTTCTGTTGATAATGGAGACTGGTTCTGCATTTTCACTATTACAGACAATGCAATAATTCACCCAGTCGACATATGCTGAGCACCGACAATGAATCAGAAGCAGTGCTTGGCTCTGCAGTAGGCAACTGTGGACCTGTTGCTTTTCTCATCATTTCCTGAGGGTGGGATTAGTGGGACAGAGGGCATAAACATATTTGCAGATGCCCAGTCATTCTTTAGTCTAATTCCAGAGTCTCTACTTAAAAACATAAGGAACTGTTGGAAGTCATATTTGAAAGAAGCGGGTGGTGAGGTAGGTCTCGGAGGCTGCTGCCTTCTGCTCTTCTGACATCTCTGTGCTTGACTGTGAATAAAGTCAGCTGTGCAGTATTTATAGTATATGTATATCTCTTAATCTCCTAATAAATTTGACCTTTAAACTAAAAAAAATATATATCTGTAGAAATCATAGGAGCTAAAGGTAGCAGGTTAAGGGCAGAGAGGGGACAGGGGATGGAGCAGCTACAAGGAAAATGGGGAAGACAGGAGCTTCCTGGTCACGGATGCTCACTTTTTAGTAGAGCTGCCCCTCCTGACCTCTTCTCTCAATACTCCCACAGCCTACTGCCTCCCGCCATGCTCGTCTCCTTTCAGATGCGACTTTATCAAAGCCCTTTCTGACTTTGGGCCCTAGCACATGCTACTCCTGTTCGTCAGAAATGCTCTTTCTTTGACCAAATTCTCATCTTTCAATTCTCAGCCCGAATTTCACTCTTTAATGATGTATCTGATCTCCCATCTGCAATATGTTGACTAGCACCTTGTATTTCTCCACCAGGGCATATAGCAAAAGTGTAAGTCAACACATTTTTTTAAAGTATTTATTTTGTCCCCTCTTCCCCAGCTAGACTCAAATGCCACGAAAACACTGACTCTCAAGGTGGTTTTGCTGGCTCTCCCGCCCTGGCACTGTCGTGGCCCATCACAGATGTTCATTATTTATTAAGCACATTGATGTATGAATAAAGGAAAGGACACTTACAAAAATATTACGAGGATGAAAGAAAAGATTGCTGAAGGGACGAAAGTAGTTCATTTTCCAGACCACAGTTTGAGTGATGCTAGTTAAAGAAGGAAATACTACCTGAGAATTATAAAAATATGTAAAGGTAGATTCTAGAAGTCTTTAAAATATGTCTGCATTCTCTACACATCTGAGAACCAGGGAGTGAACTTCCAATATCTAGCTTTAAAGCTCTCTTTAATGCGCACTGGAAATATTGGGACAACTTTAAATTATATGTAAGTCTCTACATTCAAAATTTTAAAATAATTCTGAAAATTCAGACTATCAGAAGACTCTCATTTCCAAGAGACTCCCCAAGTTTCACTTAATTTGGTCTAAATCTGTCATCTATCCTCTAGTCTTTCAATGTTCCATCTTAAGGTGTGATTTGGAGAAAATCATGGTGCTATTATTATGATGCTAGCCGAACAACTTAATTCCTTTGTACCTTACCATTTAGTGCTGGAAAATGAAAATACAGAAACAAAACATTAGCCCTGGGATATCCCCGAACCCCCTCAGGAACTGCAAATGGAGCAGCATCTGAGAATAAGACTTGAGCTCTGGGCAGCAGCAGGGGTGAGATACACAAATCATCTGAGAGTGTGATGGCAGGCATCTGGGTTTACCATCTGATTCCCTGTATTGACATGCACATGGCATAATCAATAGCTTCAGGACCATAGGTGGAATATGGGTCAAGCGATAAGCCAACATCTCCCTGGGTGACTGCAATAGCCAGCAGGCTGATCTCCTTGCCTCCAGCCTCCCCACTCCCAATCATTCTCTGCATACCACCAGTGACTTGTTCGAAACCCAAATATGACCATGCTACCACGTTGGTCCTTTAGTGGCTCTCAGTCTTACCCAGGTGAGAGTCCACATTTCCTTAGGCGGTTATGCGAATGAATGAAAAAATAAACTTCTCTGTGTTAAGGCAATGTTATAGCAGCTAGCATAACAGCTTTGCAACTTATCAATTAGCTTTGCAAGTTACTTAACTGCTCTATTCCTAGGTTTTATTCTCTAAAAAAAAGGGAGATAATAATGGGGTTGTTGAGAGGATTAAATGAGCTAATAAATGTGCAGTATTAGTGCAGAGCTAGTCATACTAATCCTCCAATATACGTTTAATATTATGACTATTATTAGTAGTATTAGTCCTCCTCTGGATGAATACAACTGTTCTTAGAAGAGCAAGGGCTCACCCGGCACTCTTTCGAGCATCACCTTACCTTTTCACTTCTTGCACATAGTCTGCATTTCTGTCAAAGAGGTGGGTCACGGAGTCTTTGATAGCTTCATGCTTGAAAGTAGAAGCTGTTCCAAAGACAGTCACACTAGGGATAGTGGAACAGAGCTGAGCCACAGCTTGGCCCTGGAAGTGAAATACAAATACAACAGACAAGTCACAAAGGAGAGCTACCACCTAACCACTAGTCTTACTGTAGAGTAGGATTTCTCAACCTTGCTGCTGTTGACCATTTTTAGGGTGCATTAGTCTTTATTGTAGGGAGCTGAACTGTGCATTACTGGATGTTTAGCAGCCTTCCTGGCCACCACGTAGGAGGAGCCAGTAGCACCCCTCTCCCTGTTTTGACAACCAAAAATGTTTCCAGACATTTCAAAATGTCCCCTGGGGGATAAAATCTCCCTTGATTGAGAACCACTGGTATAGAAGAAAGTCAATGTGAGCTAGCAATACCCCAGCATCAAGACTTAACAATTGTTATTTAATGATACTGAGCCTTGGGTTTCTCATCTATAAATTAACAATAATGGTATCTACTCCATAAGGATCTTGGGGGATGTCTGGATCCTCCAAAAGCAGACCTTGAGGGAAGGATTTGAGTGTAAGTACTTTATCTAGAATATGATTGCAAGAAATACCAGGGTATTGAGACAAAGAGAAGACAGCCAACAAAGGATATGTTATCAAGCCAGAATCTACTGTGGGCAACTGGAAATCAATCCCTCTAAAGAACTCTGTGAGCAAGTGTAGAACATACTTCAGAGTTATCCCAACTAAGTGGTGAGGAAGCTGGAATATTTATCCACCAAATTTCCATCTGATACCAGTTGAGGGTTGTTTCTACAGCAGTAAGTCTTATGCATGTCCTCTTGGGCCAAGCATGTTGCCACAGTGAGATAGAAACTCTAATCAAGAAACCTTCAGTATGTCTAGTTGAGAGCAGAAAAGATGATATGACCAACAGCATTTGCTACAGGGGTGTTAAATGAGGTAATATGTAACACAGGTAAAGCACCCAGCCCAAAAGTTGACATTTAATAGGTATTTGATAAATTTTAATCATCTCTACCTCTTAGTGGCTTATTATATCCAGGGTTGAGATGTTGAGGCATATTTTAAAAAGGCCAGTGTATGAGGTTTAGGTATTAAATGATCCAGGAGAAATCACAAATGCAGTTAGGAATGGATGGTTTTCCATACCCCTTTTCAATATGGTAAAAATTTAACTCATTGGACAAAATACTGTGACTATGTGCATTCAAGACCTTCCAATAAAACTTGACTTGCTGGTAAATAAGACGCATTCTAAAACCAAGTACTGTTTCTTTCCAGTGTTCCAACTGTCATCTTTAGGAGGCATAAATTATTGAGGGAAATTATTCCACCAAAGTCATCTGTGATATTAATTTCTGCCTATCACTTTATTTACACATCTTCATATTGGTGGACTAAATTAGGTTGGCAAGTCAATTTGTGGATTTTTAATCCTTCTACCATTTGCAATTAAAGGCAGCACTGAGAGAATCAGAATGTCAGAGTTGGGACATCATCCAATTACCCGCTTCCATCACTGTTTTAGGGATGAGGGAAGGGGACTCAGGAAGGTTAAGGTGACCCAGTTCTTCAGAGGCAGATCTGAGATTTAAAGCAAGGTCTCCTGATTTCCAGTTATTGCCATTTTCTATTAGACCATGTAGTCAGTTTATTTTGACATTTAAGCTAAGCAGACTTTTAAGTTGCTACCTTAAATAGACACAATACTGACGCACTCAATTACTTGGAGGTGATTTCAGAACGTGGGTATGAATCTAAGACTGCAAACAGGCTACAGTTTTGTGTTCTAAGAATAGCTTTGATATTTGGTTAAGTTTTTTTATCTCCTGATTTTAGAGAATAATGAGGGCACTATCCTAACTAGTGAATGTAAATATCAGCAACAACCAACGTAGCAGTGCTCTGAAATTCGACAGTACTTGATCTAACCTTGTTAGTGCTGGCATGGGAGATTAGAACTAGTTCTAATATCTGTGTGGTCTCTCCTGCCTTCTGTCCTTAAGCAAATATGACATTTATCCACTCAAGTAATTTTCAAATTCCTATTATGTACTAGTCACACTGTGCTGTAGATGCTGGAGTGTCAGAAATGATTGACACACCTCAATCTCCATCTCTAGTCCCAAGCCCCTTACTGAGTCCCAGACTTGTGTATTGAACTACCATTTTGGTACCCATCTCCACCTGGCTATTCAAAAACAGCACATCAAACTCACTTGATCTAAAACATAACTCAGGGCCATCTCCAAGTGAGTTACTCTCTGTATTAATTTAAGACTGTTGTAACAAAGTACCACAATCTGGGATGATTAACAACAGAAATTATCGTTTCACAGATCTAGAGGCTAGAAGTCTGAAATCAAGGTGCTGGCAGGGCTGGTTCCTGCTAATGGCTGTGAGGGAAAGATTTGATCCAGGCCTGTCTCCCTGACTTGCAGACAGCCGTCTTCTCCCTGTGTCTTCACACGGTCTTCCCTCTATGTGTCCACCCTAATGATCTCATTGTAACTTGATTACCTCTGGAAAGACTTGAGGGCACATTCTGAGGCGTTGGGGGTAGGATTTTATCATATAAATTGGGGGGAACATAAGTCAACCAACCCATAACACTCCTTCACTGTGTTTCCTGCTTCAGTGGATGGAATCTCACCAATTCACCCTTCCCTAGAGCCAGGAATCTGGGGTTATCCTGGACCCCTCATCTCCCTCACCCCCACATCCAAGGAGTCAGCTAGTGTGTTATTTCTACTCAGCCTCTCTTGTGACTGTCACCTCTTAGTCCAGGTTGTCATACTTCTAACTTTTTTTTTTTTTTTTAGGCGAGGCAACCCTTGGTTGACCTCACAGATTGCAAGGACCTTGTCAGTTTACAATCCCCTATTTTTTATTTTTTACGCATTGAGCATCTGGTCTTTCTAGGTGGTCTCCCATCCAAGTACTAACCAGGCCCGACCCTGCTTAGTTTCCGAGATCAGACGGGATCGGGTTTGTTCAGGGTGACATGGCCATAGACTGTCATACTTCTTTCCCCAGATTATGACAACACTCTTCTAGCCAGCCTGGCTATTTCCAAAGGTATTTACACTGTGGGCAGAGTGATTTTTCTCAAACACAACACTGAGCATTTCACTATTTGTTTCAAAGCTTTCCAGTGCCTATTATGGTTTTCAGAATGAAATGAATATCTTTTACTTTATCGCACAAGGCCGGCCCTCCCGATTTGACCCAGTCTACTTCATTAGCATAGTTTCCCTCCACTTTTCTGATATCCACCTCCTAACAATATACAGAACTTGAGCCATCATGGATTGACATTCACCATGGCGCTCTGCAGCCCTCATCCCATGGTGTTCTCAGAATGAGCCTTTAACCTTATGTTACTGAGGAAGAAGCTGAAGTTTACAGAGATTAGGTACTTGGTCCACTAGGGTATGATGTGGCAGACCTTAATCACTTGTACTCATCAGCTGAGCAACCTTGAGTAACATATCAGTTCCTTTAGTCCCTCATCTTAATATGCAAATAGTAATACAATATATATGCTAAGATTTTTGTGGGATTATATGACATAATGTACCCAAGGGCTTAGAACAGTGAATGGCAATCAATATTTGCTATCGCTACTACTGTGACTATTACTGTTTTTCTTGGTGTTTTTACTCTATCAGCAGTAGAAGCACATCCACTGTCCCACCACCAGCTCCTAAATGTATCATGCTATTTTAGCTTCAGCGCTAATTTTCTCATATGCGTTTCCCCTACCTATCATGCCAGTCCTTCCACTTCCTCAGATCATAGCCACTCCCCCTAAGGCATCTTGTCTTCTACGAATCCTTCCCAGCATCCCAGGCAGAGTCCCTCACCTCTTTTTGTGCCACCATAGACCTGTGGTTCTTTCTTCCAGGACAGCGGCCACCACAGCCTTCTGTATCTACTAACTGACCCATCTGTGAGCTCCATGAGGTCAGGGATTGTATCTCGTTTGGCTCTGCACTCCAACACTCAGGACAGAGCCTGACACATAGCAGGTGTTCACTAAAACCCATTGAATGGATGCAGGAGAAACTAGAGGAGTTTGATGTAATGGGGAAGCACCCTCATCATTTTGCAGATTTTTAGTATTGCAGAGTGGGAATAAAGCATAGATTTAATTAATATATCTAGTCTCTGACCCAAGCAGAACTTTACCATTTCCATTTTAAAGAGAAATAGAAATGTGGTAGTAAAATGAAATGCTATAAGTAACTGGATTACTTATATATTATTTATACTATTATTTAATATATAATGTATTATATGTG